AGCTTTTGTTAACAAGAAGCGAGTTTGACTTCTTATTGAGTGGAAAACTTTTGATTATAGTTAATCGAAAAGGGTAGAAATTTAGAGTTAGATTCATTGATTAACTCAGTTGTAAATCTTGAACTAATATAAAACTTCGGTGTGGTTTTTCCCTTCCTTAAGTTAGGAAGGTTTCCACGATAAATTTTTGTTTTATTGTGTTACGACAAAATTACAAGAACCTGATTCTTGTTCTAGGGATAAGGTTTCTTTATTAAGTACATTCACCTTTGTTTCTTCTCAAGTTTGTTTAAACTCCTCACTAGACAATTCAAGTCTAATTTTATACGGATAGATGTGTTTAAAGAATCCACCGTTGTATGATTCCATTATCATATTATTATGAATTTCTGGATGTTCAAACTTATGAACGAAAATACTGACATGCTCTGTTGTTTGTAGCATATTCAATAGAAATTAGTTCACCGTGTTAGGTCTGATGTTGATCCTTTTGGAGATGGAAATTTAAACTTTGGCAAGACACCATCACACTTTAAAATATTTCAATTTGGATTCTCTTCCTTTCGGTTTTTCGTGTTTCTTTCTATAAGGTACTATATTGAGTATTTGATTTAATTACCGTAAGGATAGCTTTCTCCAAAAGTTTTGTGGTAAACATGAACTAATAAGTTATAAGGGCATCTCCAACTCAATACTCTATTTTATTCTCTATATATACAGTTCTCTATTTTTCTGACAATCAACCTCAACCCAATTCTTTATTTTACTCTCTAAAAAGGAAAAAAAAATCTCTCCTCAATATTATATTATTATTTTTATTTTATTCATATTTTCTTATTTCATAATATATATTTTAATTAATTCTTTTCTCCGAAATAATTAATTTATATAATTTATTTCTTTTTTCCGAAATAATTACTTTATATTAAATTAGGGGACAAATTCAAATAAAAGTGACAAACAATTATACAAACACTCAATTATTAAAATAATTACGTGTCTTCCATAAATGCTCTATTGATGCACTACGAAGTTTAAAATAAACATTTTTGTACTTAATTTTTTATGAGTAGCTAAAAATTGTTCAAATCGGAGATTTTCATCTACCACCATTTCTATAATTGAAGTTGAAACCTCTACTAAATCTTGAATTGGTGTATTGAGATCACGTTCATCCTCAATTCATTAAAATTCCGTAAAAAATAATCATAAATACAAACACATGAGATGCATATATTAGATTGGCTACATCTGAACAATAGGACGACGAAAGGTAGATAGATATATCAAAGCCAAGGATTTTAGAGATGAAACTAAAATTTTAATGAAAAATTTAGAAATTATAAGTGATCCAAATGTTCGTGATCACCTGCAACGAAAACAACAATGAATATCTGAAAAAAGAAATCAACAATCGCAACCGCAGTCACAATCGCTATCACAACCACAATCGCAACAATTGTCGGAATTAGGGCTGGGCGTTCGGTTGGTTCGGTTTGGTTTATAAATTTCGGTTTGATTTTTTCGTTTTCAGTTTGGTAAAATGTGAAACCAAACCAAACTGAAATAAATTCGGTTCGATTTGGTTTTTACAATTTTGGTTTGGTTTATTTCGGTTCGATTTCGATTTAACCAAATTTAATGTGAACAGTTGCATGTGCCATTTGAAAATTTTTAGTAAATTGAAATAATATGGCTTCATAAATGGTCATATTCTTTTGCATATTCCCAGAGGTATTGAAACAAGTGCATGACACTCCTCTTTATAAATAGGGATATTAACACTACATACAAACAAATGAACCATTCACCACTAATCTATATGTATCTATCTTCAAGATCAGCTAAACATTTCAAACTCGACAAACTGGAGATTATCAGGTTTGTTAAGACACCCAAGATTGTTAACATATTGAAATTTTTGAAGCAAAATTATGTTTCTATTATAAGCAAATATCCATTGCTGGCTATAACGAATTAAATATATGTTATTACATACTTACATTAACAAGGAATGACCATTAATGTTATCTTATGTTATCTTTTCAGATATTACTTTCAGAATTTAGTTTTGTTAAAGTTAGATTGGGACTTTTACTAACAACTCTCTGTGATTAAAGACTTTGACAGACGGTTAGATTTTTGCTTATGTTTCTTATGTGAAGATTCTTCAATTATGATAGCTATTGAGACTCGATTCCACTTGTCGGTTTATTCTGTTTACATATGCTTTCTTAGTGTTATGTTATGTCATGTGGTTAGCTTGGGATTACTCATGGCTCTAGGCACCATGTCAAGTCATGGAAATAGTCTTGGATTGTGACACTAATTAGTGATGCACATTTGATAAATATGTTCTATACCATGTTAAGGTATAGGGAAGTCCTGCCTATTAGAATTATATGTTGCGAAACATGAGCTCACATGCACATGATGTATGTTGGTTGTAAAAAAAACTTCAGTAAAAATACTATTAATTCTTTACACTTGAATCATCATGATGATTTATCAGATTTAAAAGCTTATCTCTATTTTCAGATTAAGGTTGTTCAAACTGATTTACCTTTGTAAACATGAAAACAAATTCTCAAATGATATCATACATTGAATTTAAGATGTCTTTCACATATTTCATTGCATTTATGATTATTGAAAACTTATCAAATACTTATTACATGTTGTCATCCGAAATGATTGTGTTTAGTGTCACCTTATATATTCGGTACATTTCACGTATTGACCGCATACTTTTCTTTGTGTTTCATCCTATTATGATGTAGAGTTAGGCATTCGCTCTCACACTCGTGGCTAGACAAGTTGCAACATTATATTTCCAGTCTACAATTTTTTATCGTCCTCAATTGGGGATTATATAGAGTAGTCACTAATTAGATTTTACTTTAATATAGTTATTTACTTTAACATAATTTCAACTAAATATCAAATATAAACATTGAATCATGCATTAGAAGACTTAATTGACAACAATTAATTACAATTGAATGAAACCTATAAAGATTGGATTGAAACCCTAACTTAGACAATTGAATTAGAGCGTTGCAAATTGTATACTTTGGAGACCCTTCATGAGTGAATACCAGCATAACTTAATCCTTTAAGCCCAAAAAAATGGAGGATTGTTGAACTTGAATTGAACCTAGCTCCCTCTTCTTCCTTAGTGTGGAGAATATTTGAGGAGGATAAGTTGGTTAGGTTTAGGAGAATGAATTGAAAGTCCCTACAACGAAAACAACTTTTAGCGGCAATAAAAGACCTTAATAAAGAGTGCTAAAATATTTATCGACATTTTTTAAGTGTCATTAGATCCAATGTCACTAAAACCTTTAGGGACATATACAAAGAGTGTTAATTGCCGCTAAAAATACATATTTAGTGACAATTGCTAATTAATTGACGCTAAAGCTTATTTTTTGTAGTGAGTTGGTAATTTGAGGCTTAAAAGCTTTATGTAGGGCTTAGGATAGAAGGCAAAACAACATAGTGTTTGATTAAAACAATTAGGAAAAGATTGAAAAGCCCTTTAAAAATAACAAACGGGCTTGACCTACGTTTACTACCTATGAAACATAGAATTTTCTACAGTCCATACTGGTCAGCCGTAGAACAAGTACTGGACTATGGATTCACCTATCTTTTGATGAAACATTTTTGTTGTCCGTTGATACCAACTGTAGAAACCAATTTTAATCTTCAAATTTTCATTAAGTAGGGACTCACCTACGAGACCTATCTACAACTCGTACATAATATGACGGATTGTTCTAGTAAATCGTACAAGAAGTACTAAAAATGTATTGAAAATTTATTTCCTTCTTCCTACGGTCGACACCTATGGCCAGTAGAAGCTTCTACGGTTTGTACCCATAGACACAATGTGCAGTCTAAAAATTTCTCTTCTCATTTTTCCAAACTCTGAGGTGTTGCAACAACGGCCATATAATAATTGCAATGGGTCAATAGCAACAAAATCTTTTGGCAATGGTCAAAACAGTTGCACTAGACATTATAGCAACAATTTTGTAATGGTCACTAGTTAGTCTGTTCCATAGGCCCAATTTCTGGTAGTAGGGATAAAATAGTGTTGTTGATTCAAACGACTCCTCAAAAAGCCCCTTTTAGTTTTGGTCTACAATTCAATTTGACCTTTTCCTTGGCAAGGTAATGGATGAATTTTGCAAATGTAAGATATTGTATCATTAAAAGGTTCAAGTGATGATTTTCGGTTAGAGAAAGTCTCCCAAAACAGTAAAGTACATTATTTTCTACATTGCTACTATTACATAAAATATCCAGTCGTAAAACTTTATTGTTAGAAGTACATATGCATGCTTTACCTTTCAGTTAATTATCCTACGGTGTACTTTTAGATTTATTCTTCAGTTCAACATATGGCTAGTTGTTGTGGCAGTCATTTTACATACCGTACATTTGATATACGGGCGACATTTGGCATGCATCTTTAAATAATGTAGATTCAGGTGTTGCTGATAGTCAGCAAACACTCTAGTAGGGTCTCTCTCTATCAAATTTTGGTGAGACCTCCTTGTTTTCAAAGGGATTCAATTTATCTTAGTTCAATTCATTTGATTATTAGTCATTGCTAGTAAATAGTTAGATAGTCGTAAATCTTGTTCCAACACTTATCTTCAGTTAGTAGAGACTTCATAGACGAGTTTGATTGGATTGAATTTAAGATGTTCTCACAAACATTTCTACTTTAAACTTATTATCTATAAAGCTATTTGAGTTATGTTTTCTACAATAGTTGCTTGCTCATCTATTAAAAGCTTCCACATAGTTTTATAGCTCAGCATAGTAGTAAGTCTGGCCTACGGTTTGCTAGGAATCAGCAATGAGTCTGAGTGTCTGTCACACCCAAAGTGTAGGCTCGAAGCATGACAATTGTGACTTTTTTATCAAAACGAATAAACTTGTAAAAAATATATGAAGCGAATATTTGTGAAATGGCAACATCATGGTATTTGTGCACTTCTCCCTAAAATATTACTGTAAATCTGAATAGTAAAATTTAATTTATTCACCATGACATACAAGGTGGAAATGAATATTTTTATCAAGTAACTATGCACAAATTCATTATGTACATACTAGTAAAGCCTTTCAGGCTTACATTACAAGTAATGACATGTATATACTGATTTTTTTTCCCCTCATAAATTAACTTCAATCTTATAAGACCAATCATACTTCTTCAATCACAACCGATCTGCCAATTGGGGAAATTTTTGCAACAGCCATGCCACGCCTCTTATCGCAACCTAATAAGATTCTTAGAAGTGTAGGTGAAGAAATTACAAGTGAAAGAGCAGAGAAAAGAAGACACTTGCTCAACAAAATCGCAGTTGCAGCCAAGTTGATAGTACAAATAATCAGCTATTATTCACCAGTCAGCCATATGAAACCCAGATTCTCAGCTAATTAGAAAGTCCAATGCATCAATAATGCACTAAATACAGTTGTTATAGACTCACTTAACCTTCCATGCAATAGGCGAATTAATATACAGTAGTGCAGAAATCTTCCCAGCCGAATTGACTTTAACACATATAGTATACACAGCATGTCTACGTCCTTTTACTCAGTCAACTACAATGCATAGATGTGAGAGCAAATTCATTTTGTGGGAAAATATAATATATACTAGGGTTTAGGAACTATGCATGTCTGTCTATGTATACAACATGGACCCCCAGCTAAATTTTGTGGAAGTAAACATTTCTTTCACTCAGAGAGATGGATGTTCATTTGATACACATGTTAGAACAATGTGATGTTTGACATAAATATCTATATTTTGTATCCTTTCTTTTGCTATTATCACACCTTTAATCTTAATTTTGTTGAATTTAAGCTTATGTTGGTATATTTTTTATATGCAGGCGCATGAAAATTTCAAGAGGCATGACTTGCAGGCAGCTTGGGCACCCTTGTGTCACAAGGATGCCGTAACCATACTGAGCATGTGTCACCCATGTGTCAGAAAAGATGTCACGAAATTCTTACCAAAACTCTCCCAGCACCCCTTGCGGCACAAGGGTGGATGTTGGCACATCACTGAAGCATTTCTGGTCCAAGTTCCAACTTGGATTTAGTTTATTAGAGTCCAAGCTTTTTTGAACTCTATAAATGCACCCTAAGCACAGTTTTTAGACATCTTGAAGATAGAGAGAGCTAGGAGCAGTATTGTGAATGGCGAGCGCCTCATCGCCAAAGGCGAGAGGCGAGGCAAGGCGAGCCCTTCTCGCCATTCCACACTGAGGCGAGGCGACCCATGGCGAGCTAATGGCGACAATATGGCACCGCCTTTTTGATTTAAATTTTTTAAAAGATTTGACTTAACAATATTAGTCAAAATTAGGGTTTTTTTTCTATTTTCAAAATTTGCTGCTGCCGACTCCTCTTCCCCTCACGATCTCTTCTCCCCGACTCCTCTTCCCTTCGCGATCTTCTATTGTCAAAATTTGCCGGTCGCGTCTCTTCTCCTGTTCTCCATCATCTTCGAGTTGCTGCTGCACTGAGGACCTGAGGTATACCTCTTTTTTTTCTTCTTCTTTTGATCTTTTTAGTTCTTCTTGAGTTCTTTTCTTCAAGAGTTGGATAGTTTTTGAAGAAGAATAGACTTTTAAAGTTTTAGTATTGTATTTTGAATTATTTGGTCTTTAAAGTTTTAGACTTTTTAGTATCTACTATTGGTTTTTGAATTGAATATTTGCTAATATGTGTTATTACTATTAAGATTTTGGATATTTATATATGAAATTAAATATTTTTAATTTTTGGTATTAATTGGAGCCTTGATTCAAAAAGGCAAGCGGTCGCTTCTCGCCGTCCAAAACACAGGCTAGGAGTTGTCGTAAAGGCTGGAGTATATTGGGTTTTACATTAGCTTTAACTTTTCTTTAGATGTTTGTTGTTTTATTTCCATGTCTATGTGGAGTTAAATTTCTAGTTCTATGATTATGGTTATTTTATGTGGAGCTGATCATGCATGATGCAGTCAACCTCCTCCATGACTATCTCTCGGGAACAGGTATCCTTGTTATTAGTAATGTTCGTTTTGGTGAATTCGATCTCATACATTTTTAGGTATACACACATGGTGGATGTGCTGAAAGAAAAGGAGACAAGAACAGGCCTGCGCAATTTACATTCAAACTATGGAGAGGGACCTGGTCTTGTCACAGGGATTACCACTCTTAAACACTATTTAAATTATTTGTGAGGACCGCTGTAATTGCCACATGTTGGTCATCTGGGTTTCTGACCATTGTCCCATCCTCCAAAATGCCAAAAAAAAGATACCTCCTTTCAGAACCTGACACATCCTTTCATCTCCTTTTATACTCCACCTTTCCTCCAATCTCTCAAAATTTAAATTTGCTTCCAAAATACAAAAAAAAAATCATATCATCACCCTTTTTCTCTCCAAACGAATCAATTCAACCCTTACTTCCAACTGAAAAAATGTTAAATATTGTAGATGGAATTGATTCGTCTATATTTGCTTCTCCTCAAGAAAACCTCCTCCTTCAACTCCCCTTGCAACCATTCCTCAGATTGAAGAGGCAAAAATTCATCCCCCATCTCAACCGTTCCTCCGATTGAAGAGGCAAAATCTCATGATACTGAGGTTTCATTGCAACCCATGCATGTGACGAACCCATTCCTCGACCTCCTTCAAAAGTTGCTACCCCTGAATGTTCTCCAACCCTAGAGTTGTATCCCTATTAAGACTCCTCCCGAGATAGGTCGACCCATTCTGAACCACTACCTGTGCTTAAAGCTCCTTAAGCTTATCCATCTCTGGACCATCCAAACCTGTTCCTGTCTCCTCTACTATGAGAGACCAACATTTTGACGGAGATTTACCAGATGCAAAAAAAACAGGGTTGTCGGAGGAGGAGGAGGAGTCGCAGGAGGATGAGGAGGAGAGTCTGTTGAATCTACTTCTGATTCTGAGATGGGACTTGGTTCAGAGGGTAAAAAGAGAAAAGTGGAGAGGGAATTCACAAAGCCTGAGAGAATCAACATACTGAAGACTCGGAAGGTGCTAAGTGGCAGGGTCTTTGATATTGAGATACAAAGCAAATCAGGAATGAGGGACCTAGCTGATGTGTAGAGCTTCAGAGTCCAACTCATCTGCTCGAGTGGCCTGTACCCACTTTGTATGAAAAGGAAGTGAGAGAGTTTTTCTGCAACATAGAGTTTACAAGGATGGGATTCTGAATACCGAAGTGAATGGAATAACGATTCACTTAATTGAGGAAATTCTAAATAATATTCTGCAGGTTCCCAAGGATGGAATCGAGAGTGTTGCCAAAGGATCTCCTTCAAAACACTTTGTTCAAGAAATTGGCAGACTTCCCGGATTGAGTTGTGCTGGCATTCCAAAGAAATTTGTCAAGGGAAGATTCCAACTCTATTGTGAGTTTCTGAATAAGGTGATAGTTTCTGAATAAGGTGATTTTACATAGGACTGAAAAGAGAATTGTTGATTCTGTTGTTGACTTGTTCCTCATGGAAACTCTTATCAAGGTTGAAGATGTCAATCTCCTTGCTATTATGAGCATATCCACAAGACTGTCACTGCTAAGGACAGCAAGCACGGAATGGAATATGGGCATCTGCTGACGAGAGTGTTCAACCATTTTGCTATCGCTATTGGAGAAGGGATCAAGGGCACAATCAAATAGGCTATATCGCTGACCACACTCATTGAGAGTGAATATGTGGAAGGAAGGATAGGCAACAAGGGAAAATCTCAAGTGTCTGAATTACTGGAGCAACAAGAGCAATTGAAGCACAAGTTGGAAGAAATGACAGTCATCATGGCTAGTCGGAATGCAGAAATTGCTTGATTGAATGCTCAGTTACTGAAAGCCCAAGCAGAGGATCAGTACTCTTAGCCAATGACGTAGCACTAAGGTTTTTTCTCCATCCTATAATAGTCATCTTGCAAAGGGACATAACCTTCGTTTTTGCATTTCGAAAAATCACACAGCAAAAGCCATTCTCTCAAAAGAAATATTTATCATATGCAGCAAGGAACCTGATCGAATGATCTTCTATCTTCAGTTGTTATTTGAGAATATAGTTTTGTGCTTATTCACTGTAAGATCTATTCATGTGTTATAAAGGAATTAGATCAGTTCAAGTTGTATTCGTTTGTTTTGAGTTTGAGTGTAGCTAGAGTTAGCTATGTCGTATTCTTGAAATCTCTGTCGACTGAGTGGTTGGTGTAGTGGGCAATAGAGGTATTGCTTTGTTTTCACGTTACAGAGCTGTTACAAAGGGGAAATGGATGAAGAGCTTGATTCCTAGGTTGCAAGAGTTTGTAATCTGAAGTTCTGCTATTTGAAGTTAATGGAGTTGTGTTGAAATCTAGTGAGACATGTCGTAGTTTTCTCCTCCCTTGAGCAAGGGGGTTTCAGCGCAACTCTTGTGTCCTTTACTTAAAACTTTTTCTTTCCACACTGTTCTTACTAACTCAAAGGATATGGTCCATTGACTATATTTCATCAGTTGTATTTGAGTTTTGTGGGTATATTCTTTTTTATTACATGGGTACATGATATTGGAACATATTTAGGTCATGCCATCGGTTGAAATGCAAAGTGTCGCACATGAAAAATCATGAAGCAAGAAGTGCATGCAGCCTGCGCCACTCTTGTGTCACAAGGCTGCCACGCCTATGCTGAGCATGCACCACGCTTGTGTCGCAAAGAGTGTCGGAAGCAATTCAAGGATGGAGCATTACTAAAGGATTTTCCATTCCGACTTGGATTTGCCTTATAAATGTCCAAACCTTTTTGAACTCTATAAATACACCTTAAGTATAGCTTTTCAGACAACTTTTGACCTGGCGAGAGATAGGAGCCATCATGGACTCCAGATTTTCCTGGGTTTTATCTTTTCTTCTCCATACTTCTAAAAACTTTTATATTTTCTTTGAATGAGTTGCTATTTTTCTTTCATGTATATGTGGAGCTAAATTTCTCGTTCTAAGGGTTATGGCTATTATTTCATGACTGTTGTTATTCGAATATTGATTTCAGTTATTTAGTCTATCATATGATATTTGATTACTTGGACAACTATCAAATACTATCTATGGATCTTGAATTTAACTTGACGGTGGAAATTCAAGATTGCAAGGATTATATAGAGCAAGTTCTTAACCCTGGCCATCGAGGAGCAGATTTGCACTCAGGATGGACATATACCTAGATTGGGTTGCTTGACTAATTTATAAGAGTTGTAAATGAATTCATCAGGAGTTGTAAATGAATTCATGTAAAGGTTCATGGTCATAGACATATTGAATGATTTCCAGAACTTATTTATGGCAATAGTCAAAAAGTTAAGAGTAGAGAGATGAGCATGGCACATTAATTTACCTGTGGAGTGGATACAAATACAAACATAAAGACAACAGATAAATGATTTTGAGGTAGTGAAGAAATTTTCATAGATGAGGAAAATCCATACCAATGCCGTCTCCCCCGGCTTGACTGCAGGTTCCACACTGTCTCTGCCATAACTGCTTAAGAAAATTAACATTTAGTCTACACTCAAAACTTTTTTTTGCTCTTAAAATGTAAGCCTAAGACAGAATGGTAGTCTTTTTTGGTTGCAAGTGATTATCAAGACCCTTCTCCCAAAGAGAGCTGCTGAGAAATTTCAAAACCAAGAAGAAAAACCCAGGACCTTACAAGAGAACATACAAAATCTACAAGTCATTTTCTACAGCCAAATACAATAAACACTGAAAGGATAGAGAAATTAATAATTTACCCTTCATCTATAAAGAGTTAATTATCTTTACAAATTCTCTCTGTACTAGTTACTGACTTTTTTTAGTCCGGAGTTCTGAAGAGCCTTGTCATCATGTATTAACAAAAGTCACAGCCTTAATAGTGTACAGATCAGGAGCAGGATCTAGGTCATCAAATCTATCTCATATATATTAATATAAGTGTAAACCTGATCAAATAGAGAATGGGAACCAACAATCTTGTGCTTCTAATAGTTGGCTAACACAAGGATTATAAGTTATAACTACATGAAGATCCTTATGGAACAATGTAAAATCAAGCTAAAAGATGATGCTCATAACTAGCAAGCAAGTTAAATTCTGTATTTATAAATTAAGTTAATGCTCCACACCTACATCTATGTTAACTTAGCAAAGTATGGTCAGTTTCAAGCGCAATAAAAGTAAAAGGTTATGGTAGATTGATGTCAATGTAATAAACTGACTAATGAATTCTCAAAATATTGAGTTTATTCAAATATGTTCACTTCAGCACACACTGAATAGAGAAAAAGAGATACGAAAGATTCATATAGACGAATCCAATTAATTTGGGTTTAGGAGTTGCTGGTCGATTTTTTATTTTCCTTTGACAAATTTAATGTCCGCGCCAACATTCGGACACCTCAACTAACTCCACGGGATATCAGTCACATCCCACCAGCCATGGACACAATAGATCAGCCAGTGTTTTTTGCCTCTGCTGGAATTTATACCTATGATCTCATGGTTCTCAATCCACGTCATTGACTACTAGGCCACACCCTTTATTGATTATAGTTTAAAAATATGGAATATTGAACAATCCTCTATGCTAACTACAATGAACATATAATTGTGCTTCTCGATCTTCTTCAATGAAGTAATTTGTTCGACCAATTAGATAAAATTGAAGTGTTCAGCAGATAATAAAATATAAAAACACATCCAGTATTTAGTGGGTTGGGATATTGTTTTACGAACAGTATTTTCATCTGGCCATTCACCACTTCCAATCGATAAAAGCTGCATCCTTTGCTAAAAGGAAAAGGTCTTCCCCTCCATTCTGTTATCATATTCAAAATCAATTACCCTGGACAATGAAGATCAATCTTCCTAGTAAACAGTATGGAAAACAAGATAAAGTATTACAAGTTTTTCCATACCCAAGTGCCATGTGACTCCAACAGCTGATGAATCCTCCTTGGATATATCGTCAATAACAAATTGCAGATCAGAACCAACTGAATCAGTGAACTTCTTGAAAAAATCTAGAATTGCCTGCATTAATAGTTTGAGATCAAACATAAGCTTAGTGATGAGCAAAAAGGACATAGGCCTGATATAATTCCAAAAATTAGCTCAAGTAGTGATTTTCTTTAAGCGAATATAATCACAAATACACTTATCTTATATGGGACTAACACTTCGCCACCATGCTGAGTACTAGACATGTGAAGCATGGAGTAACAAAACAGAGTAAACCGACATTGGGTGTCCGTTCATTAGAGATGGATTTCGTTCTAATCCCATGCCCAAAGAGTTGTAAGTTGTGCGGACCCCTCACTTTAGATGCCTCACCGGTGTCAAATTCTGCAAAAATGCACCACTTTTGAAGAATCGGACACGCACCGATGATACTGTTGAAAAGTCCGAGCAACATAGGGTGTCACCTCATACAAAATTTTAGAACTTTCAGATGAGGTGGATCACAACTCAAAACAGAGAAATCTATACAAAGATAATGAACTCTACGGCCAAATTCTTCACTCACGAAAAGCAAACAGATACAACAACATATCCAGAGAAATCGCACTAAGTAGGGTCTCAGGAGGGTAGAGTGTAGCAGACCTTACCACTACCTCATGGAAGTAGAGGGATTGTTTTTGGAAGACCATAAGCTCAAGTGCATCAAACCCAAGGAATTAGAATTATCGAGCATCGAGAATAGTTTGTCTGACGCCAATAAGGTTGTTGATGATGGAGAACTGGTTCTTCAATTTATAGTAAATGGAACTTTAAAGAGGTGCAAGAAGGTGAAAAAATAAGAGGATGGAAGCAGTAACAAGGCTAAGAAGAAAACTGGGCTTTCAGGTGATTTCTCTATTATGGAAAAGGCTTGAACAACAACAAAGAGGAGAATAGAATTACTATTAATAGTGATAATTCCAATACTGAGATGGACATTGAAACAAAATGACTTTTTACAAAGATGTGATTCCAAATCTCCAAATGCAGTTTGTAAAAGTTGTTTGTGTTCATAGTTTGGGCCATAATTTTCTTCCTGCTATAATACTCATTGATGTAGGAATGATGGAGTTGTGGAAGCTAGCTGACAGTTTGCCTTTTTCATATTGAGTATCCTCGTCAAGATTTTAATGGGCAAGTGCACTGTGGCGAAAAAATTGTGAAATAGCTCTACTAAAGGTGGAGAAACACTGAAGCCCTGAGTTATTGAGGTGGCAAGATGAGATCTTGGTCCTTGGCCCTATGCTATGTCACATGAGCAGCTAAGACAAAGAAGTTGTGATTTCTATCATGTTGACTCAAGGATGATTGTTGTTATTGAACAATACTTTGAAATTCTTTATAGAAAAGTATGAACCGCAAGAAACTTGAAGCATCTCTTCCTAATAGTTTCTGTTATGAGCACATATGGTAAACTTCAGAGAAGGCTGGTGTGGGTTTTGTTCAATACTTGAGGCAATTAGGAAGCTTTCAGATTCAGTTGGGAGATACTTGATCGGGTTTGAGTTTCTGAGAGTCAATTTTCATGTTTCTCAAACTTCAGCTATATTTTAGTGATGAATCACTTGTTTATATTCACATGTCTAGGTGTCCTGGTCATAGGCAATTGATATAATCACAAAATACCTAAATATGGTAATTGGGATGAAGAGCAAACACTGGAGTTTCTAACTAAAGATATAAAAAGGCAAAGACCTTGGGTTCTTCCTACTACAGTGGTTCTGCCTGACAACAAAGAAGTCTAGAATACCTTCAAAGCAGATTTTCATTAAAAAAAAAAAAACAGATACTGAATTAGGAAATGATTCAGTTGGAGCTTATGTTATTTCCACCGTTCCAAATGCCTTGGATGAACTAGATGTAGAGATTTTACAAAAGGATGCACATCTTATTATTAATGGGGAGATAAGCAGGCCCTTTCCTGGTTGAACACAGCATCTAGTTCCTCTATTTGAGCCCATGTAGGACATGAGACAAGCTGGATCCAGGGGCGCACCCACCCTTGGCCAAGAGGTGTGAAGCGAAACCCCTTCGTCAGAAAGTTACATTGTATATAGAAGTCATATTTTGGTTTAGTAAATATATATACAAGTATTGACACCTCTTGAAACAAGTTGAAGATTTAGTTTATTGGTTAAGGGCATAAGAAAATTCCATGAGGTTACGTGTTCAAGCCCTACTAAACATCCTGGTTCCACCACTGGCTGGTTGGGTAGTCAGAAGATTACTACCAATTAATTGGTATAGGGAACGCATAATAAAAAACTATGATGGGCATCAGGAGGTTATAATTGGTTATTCTAACATTCGCAAATATTGGTTGTTTCATTGTTGTTGCAGGAGTGCAAATCATTCAAGTTGATGTTGTAGCTGTAACTGGAGAGGGAATAAATATTGCGTTTTACTACAACCATCGAACCCCTTAATGAAAATCCTGATTCTGCCACTAGGTAGGGAGCACATAATAAAGAACTATGATGGGCATCAGGAGGTTATTATTGGTTATTCTGACATTTGCAAAATGTTGGTTGTTTCACTGTTGTTGTATGTGTGCGAATCATTCAAGTTGATGTTGTAGCTGTAACTGGAGAGGGCCCAAATATTGCACTATATAATGATGATGATTTTGCATTCCTCCATACTTTTTACACTTCTAAGAGTAGTAGAGAGTCTGATAAATTTGCAGTAACCATTGCTCTTGGACATTTGTTTGCAGTTGAAGTTCCCAAAACATTCATCGAACACTTTGATGTTATTTTGATCTCACGTAAATTTGAATGTGAATTCATTCAGCTCCATGCTATGCAACATGGGCGGTGTTAATCTTTACATCAACCAGCGGACTTTTTAATTTGATGAAAGTAGGATCATATCTTTTGAAATGGAGATGTTTCTCTTGGCAAAATCCCTATAAATTTAATTACTCCCTCTCTTCCATTTTATGTAAGAGCATTTCCTTTTTAGTTCGTCTCAAAATGAAGTATTACCTTACTATGATTAGCAACAATTTAACTTTTAAGTTTTCCTTTTATCTTTAATGAAATGAATCTCAAACACACAAATATCTAAGGGTGTCACATAAAATGGGATGAAGAAAGTACGAACTTGGTTATTATCCCCAAATGTAATTTCCATTTTCAGTTTAATCTTGGCCTCTTTTCAAAGGGTTTCAGCTCATCTTTAGTTTTATTGAATGAAAAGCCTAGCTTAGTTTGAACTTTTCTCACATCTTAAACTAAATATACCAGAGAGAAAATAGTCAAACAAAATGCAACAGAAAAAAGTCTTCAAAATACAACTAGTCCAGGTTGATAACTAACCTTACGGCCAACGAAAGGTTGAGGAAATACAAGGTCTTCATACACACAATCCTCAGCAATAAGTTCTTCGACAGAGTCCAAATCCCGCCTATTTATTCCGGCATAGAATTTCCTCACCACACTCGCCGCCGACTCTAAATCAGTTACAGAATCAGAGGATGAAGTAACCTCAGCCGTTCGATTGCTATTCCGTACAGCCACTTGTCTTATCCGATGGCCAGAAACGATCCTAAATAGATAATCTGTACAACAGTTGACACTATGAAGAACGGCGGGTGAGTTGCCGACGACAGCGGCAGTGGTAGATGTAGAGGGGTTTGAGTTGAGTGGGAGGAGAGAAAAGGATGAGGTGCTGCTCATAAGCATCACCATAGCTGCAATTGCAGTTTGATGCTACTGTTGTGATTATGAGGCGCAGCTAAATGAATGCCACTGATCTGTTTTCGGCTTAAGTCATGCACATCCCTTTTAACTTTTAAGTTCGTGTGCCTATTTCATTTGAATACTTTTTAATCGGATTGGTATCTATTGAACACTTTTATCAATTTAAATTTTTTAAATAATTTTTTAATAAAATCAACTAAAAATATTATATGTGTATAATATACTTATGATGATGTGGCAAATTAACGAATCAACGATATACATATGGAATTTTGAGGGAAAAAAAGAAAAACTATTTTAGAATCATGAATAATTTTCAATTCGTTCATTGTATTTTGTTTTTAACTATGCTGAGCTAAAAGATTGCACTCATTCACAACTTCAACCATATATTAATGGAGTATAGAGAGATTTATAATCAATTAATCGTTGAGCAAGTTGCTTCATAAAGGTCAACGGGTGAAAATATGTTCAACTCCTTTATTCAAGTTATCGTCGTTCACTCACCGTCACCGTCATTGTCGTTGCCGTTCCTCTTAATTATTAATTTTCTAGATCTATTTTTAAAAAAAATAAGATAATTAAAGTATTTATTTTTCAGGAAGAACAATGGGAGGAATGGAGGAATAGAGTAGTGATATTACTACCATATTTTTTAAAAATGGAAGAGAAAATATCGACAATGGTAAGGGAAAGGAATAGGTGGTTGAAGAAAAGAAAAGAAGATAATAGAAGGGTAGATGATGGTGGGGGGAGGTGGCGGCAATGGTGGTGGTGCGGGAAGAGTTATGGCTATTGAAAAAAGACGAAGAAACTGATAAACAAAAAGAAGCTAAAATATCTCTCCACGCGTTCACTGTATGTGTACTACACATTCCTTGCCATGTCAGCAAATAGTGTCTAATATATACTTATTTTGAACAGTACAAGTGTTCAATAGGTACAAACCTTAATTGAGGTGTTAAAGCGAAGAAGGAATATCGAATGAAACATTAGTCATTACGAAGGGATTGAGAAATAACGGTTTTTTTTTTAACTTGTCATCCGTTGTGTGTTATATGTGTGAGATTTCGTGATTTTCTTGCATAATATGTGTAGCATTATATGAGGTTAGTATGTCTTTGTGTATCATCTCAGGAGAATAAGGTTACAAAGAGGAGATAAAAAAACAAAGAATTAGAATAACGTTGTAGGTCAAGGATGCGAGGTTTTGGCTAAAATCATCTATTAACTATGATTTAAATCTAATGTGCATCATTATATGAACGAGAATCATATCAATTCTATGTCATTATGCATAAACTTATTTTTCTGTTGCTTATCATCTCCCCATAATTTTAGAGAATCTAACATTCGGTCAACATGCATTGTGTTAGTGATGGAGCAATTGAATAATACATCACACATTTAAATTTCTAGATGAGAATTATTTGGTAACTGACCCTGAAACAATTTTGAGAGTTTTGTTCTCATAACCAATGGTTTAGCTATTATTTGAAGCATATAATTTTTTTTTCTTTAACCATCTGGACATATACCAACATTATCAATATAGTTTTATAATTTGAAATTTGCTCTTGACTTATCAATTCGAGCAAACAATTTTTACAAAGATCAAATTGCAAGTTGATAATAAAACACATGTGACCATAACATAGATGCATCTATAAATAGTAAGTGGTCCACATGACAAGTGAAAAGATCCATATTCACCATTATATACATTTCAAAATTTTAGGATATACAATCTCAATCTTTGTTGGTCTAATTATAATTTTATAATGAAAAGAAACAACACAAGAGAATTTTTGAAGTTTTTCTTATTTCTTTCATATATATGTTCATATGAAATCTCATTTATTTGTGTATCATATTTGATTTGGGATGATCATCAACCAATCATGCCAACTGATATTTATTTTAATAAACTTCTAGCTTATTTTACATATGATTTCATCATGATGCGCATAAATAGTTACCACAAACAATACGAAAAATAGGTAATTTTTCATACTTATATCCACTTTAATTATAGTAAGATGAAGATCTTAAATCTTTTCATATATTATAGTCTTAAAAAAAAAATTTGACTATTTCTTTGAAACTTAAAAAGATTCTTTTGGGACTTACTACAATTTCAATATCATGAACAATTTTATTTCTTTGGTAGTTGCACAATAGCTCACCAAAGCACATAATTAACAATGGATACTATCACATATTTCATAACATTATTTGTGAGGTAAACATCTCTTTCAAGGAGAAATTTATATCATTATTGTCATGGTCAAAATCATTACAAGTAAAACTCGTACTTCTTGATTTACTTTTGTCATTAGTATCCTCTCCCTTTTGTTTAGTATTGGTAAAATGTTATTATTTTTTTTTGACGTACAAAGATATATAATCAATGAATTTTTTTTTTTGTGGTCAAGAATTATTTCCTTCTTTTGTCATTTTGATAGTTCATCATAAAACTTACCACAATATTTGTGATGTACTAAAAGTACTTGACCAATGACCATTTATATCATTAATTTTTTTCTTTATTTTTCTATAACCTCCCATAGGGTTGAGTTATGATACTATTAAATCATATATGACTCTCCTTTTTTTTATAATTTTCATCATCTCTTGAAACATTCATTTTCAAGAATAATTCATTTTTCATGATATTTAACACAAGTCACATTCTCTTCAAAGAATTGACAATATATTCATGTTTCATAATTATTTTTTAGCCTTATTTCTTTCATCAAAAGTTCATTGTGATGCTTTGAAATTTACCATATTCATATGACATAACTTGAAATCACTTTTGACAGACAAGTGTATCACCACTTTTTCGTTCTTTTCTTTGATGAAGGATTTATAAGCTTATCAAGATATTAGGTCTCATAGTAAACATGTTTCTAATGACCTTTCATATCATTTAATGTCAAAGAGTACCTTCACTCTTTGAAGGACCATTTTGAGAACTCATAATGTTCTTTCTTTTATAATTTTCACTATGATTAGTATTATTATTTTGTCCATTCACATCCATATCTATATGTCCAATCATAAATAATCTTGTCATCTTTCAGATTTTTATTGTATTGCTATCACAATCACTTAAATAAACAGAGCATATTCAGTGGAACGGACTTCACAATTTTTAGCAAGGCATATCGATTTGTTCGATCATCATTATACATCAATATATTGCATTGGGACTTTAACTCAATGTCTTATCCATACAAAGGTGTGTTAGGTAAAAATTCGAAGGGACTTGAACCCAAAATCTTATTACCATGGTGCATCGAGACTTTAATCGATGTCTTATCTTTTTGGTGCGATAAAATTTGAATCCACCGTCTTACCTCAATAAATGACAATCATATATAGTCAAAAATATAAAATTTATCCTTAAGCCTTTAAAATATTATTACTTTGTTATTAATAGCACAAATAAATCTAATCATAAAACACTTCAAAAAATCATATACAAATTATTGCTGAAATAAAATTGATCCTCATATGACCTCTGGATACTATTTTTAACTTAAAAATTATATGAATAATTCACTCATTTAAAGATCAATAAATTAATGCTCAATATTGACTTCATTTGTTGCTAGTTAATAAAAAATTCTTTCTTCAATTGTAATTCATAAATAAAGCAACTAAAGGTAAACACTAATAATCACAACAAATAAGATGATATCTCAAATTAAATTCAACTTATGAGGATAATTATTTGATTCATCATATATATTTTATCTTATTTCATGATTTAAGATATATCCAACCTCATTTGAAATTGTATAGAATATTACTTAAAAGTTATCATAATAACTCATAAAATAAGAATCCTTCTAACTTTTCAAGATTAGACATCATTCAAATACATATTTTTAACACAAAGGAAACTTAATATGGTAATCATTTTTGAAACATAGTGACAAATGGAATGAAATCTTTCTAAAGTGTTAAACTACTTTTGGAGTAGTGAATTGATGTCTTCATGTTAGAAATGAAATATTATGTAATGATCCGAAAAACCAGCTTTTTTGAAAATTCTAAACTATTCTTTTAACTTTAGTTAATTTGTTGATGGATAATTATAGATAATTAAAATAATTGAAAGTTAATGGACTAAAGTGATAATTTATTTAAGACTATATACTATTTAACTCTTATATATTAAAATAAGAAGTAGGGTTTGTCAGTTGAGTACATAATTTAGAAAAAAAGATGGAGGAAAAGAACGCCGCAAGATCGATGATGGATAACATAGGTACTAACCCTTTTGTTACTATCAATTATTAGCAATGATTAGGCAATCATGATATAGTTTATTTTTAACAATTGAAACTTTACCTTTTGATTATTATTTTTCTTTAAAAATGGTTGCTCTTGTTATTGATGATTCTAAACATTTCCAGTGAGTTGCTTTTGTGATTTGAAGGTAATCATTGGCTAATAATTTCAGCCAATCATTAGATAATGAATGTGTATGGCACCATTTCAAAAGGTTTTAATTCTGCCTATAGGTTTTATAGTTAAGAATTTTATATCTATTAGTTAGTTATGTATGTTTATCTCATGGTTCGAATGTTGTTATATTAAGATAGGTTACTATGCTATTTAGAGAAATTATAACTTAATTCTACTTCAAAAAAAAAAGATATGATAATTGAAATGTTAATTGGCATCAAAATTGAGAGTTGGATTATAAATTCGGATAGATTTTAGGTCTAAGCTAGACCTATGGTAATATGAGTGTTGTTAGTTCAAAATCTTATTGTGATTATTAATGTGAATAGATTGCTTTGAGTTTGGAGTTCAACAAAATGGGAAGGCTCAAGTTTTAAAGTGAATTCTTGACTAATTGAGGCAAGTGGATTTCTAAACTCTTGTTAAGTGTATGAAATGTGTGTATTTCCTTGTGGTATATGTTTGGGAGTAACGGGATTGGTGATGGATTGACTTGCCCACATTGATTAATTCTAATAATGAAAAAAAGGGATAACAAAAGGCAATGTGATTAATTGTTTATGTGTGATGTGTTGAGAAAGGGTTGAAC